AAAAAATATTGTGTCAAAGGAAAAAAAAAAGTACATGAAAGGCTATATATGTAATGATGTTTGTGTTTTCTTGTTTCTTCTCCTTTCTGAAAGATCAGCCACTTTGCAACATGTGCGTGTCTCAGTAACAGAAATGAGTATCCCTCCTTCTTCAGAACCATTCCCAGTGACTTCTATCAGAGCAGAGCACTGGCTAAACTCATCAAACACTTTGGATGGAACTGGGTTGGTGCAGTCAGAAGTGACAATGACTACGGTAACAATGGGATGGCAACATTTATCACAGCTGCACATCAGGAAGGGATTTGTGTTGAATACTCTGAGGCCATCTCAAGGACGAGTTCTACAGAGCAGGTTGAGAGAACTGTCAGAGTGATTCAGAGAGGCACATCAAGAGTTTTAGTTGCCTTCCTTTCCTATGATGAGATGGATATCCTGCTTGAGGAGTCTCTTGGACAGAACTTGACTGGGTTGCAGTGGGTGGGCAGTGAATCCTGGATTACATCAAGACATTTAGCTAATAAGAGATTCTCTGCTATGCTAACAGGGTCACTGGGTTTTGCCATAAGAAAGGCTAAAATCAAAGGTCTGCAAGAGTTTCTTTTACAGGTTCATCCAAGTCAGGATCCTCAGAACAATCTGCTGAGAGAGTTTTGGGAAACAACATTTGACTGCAGTTTTCAGGCTAATCTGCACAGCTCAAAACAGTGTTCTGGTTTTGAGAAACTTCAGGATGCAAACAATGCTTTCACAGATGTGTCAGAGCTCAGAATATCCAACAACGTGTATAAGGCTGTTTATTCTGTGGCTCATGCAATGCATAAAGTGTTTAAATGTGAACAAAGTGGTGAAGTAGATAACCACTCTTGTATTCTAATGAATAATTTAGAGCCAAGAGAGGTAACATAATATGTTTATGAAATGTACAACATACTATTACATGAAGAAAAACATTTGAACAACATTTTTCTAAAGCTATTATACAATGATCTGTTATGACAGGTGGCAAAACAATTCCAGGAAGTTAATTTCTCTCTTCAGTCAGGGGAGAGAGTGTATTTTGATAAAAATGGAGACCCTGCAGCAACGTATGAGCTTGTGAACTGGCAGAAAAATATGACAAGAGATGTTGTGTTCATAACTATAGGGAACTACGATGCTTCACTACCAAATGGAAAACAGTTTTCTTTGAATGGAAAAAATATAACATGGGCTGGACAATCTTCAGAGGTAAGAAGCAGTTTTTGTTTAAAATAAATAATTTTTTATATTTGTTGTGGTTGGTGTATAGAAAAAAATATATTCAAATGTATATAATTTAATTATTTGAACTTGGACATATTTGATTAAAAAAAAACTCAATTAAAAGCAGGCATTTAATCTAAACTTTTATGAAAGTCATAATTGAATTCTCGAAGTAATAAAAATATTTTTCTATGTAATTCATATTATTTTTCCAAGTAAATATATATATATATATATATATATATATATATACATACATATATATATATATATATATACATATATATATGTAT